TTTAATTTGTAAGTATTACATATATGCAAATCCCAAGAAGAACATTTTTTTTCAAAAACATTTTTTCAGAACATTATTTTTCAAATATTTAAGATCTCAGAGGTGAGGCAACACAGAACTAGAAGGGGTATAGGCAAATTATCTCATTCTGCTTAACTCAAGGCCAGATCATCTGTCTTCATGTCACACTTAGCTGTTATTTAAAGATCTTCAGAGATTTCCACAGATGGGCTATTCCAGTCCTTAATGACAGAGTATTTTCTAGGTACCTCTAACTCCAAAACAACAACAAACCACTAAAATATACTGACACTCTGTACAGCCAGCAGCCCTTCCCTAACGACTGTATTTTTCGTTTTAGTATATCCCCTCACATTTTTTACCCTCTTCTTTCCTGAGCTAGACCTTTCCATCCATTTAAAACTGATGAATGTAAAGAAAATTAACATGATAGTTGTTTGGATTATTCTTATTATAGGACTGTCCTGAATTGAGCTAATTGCATCTTTTTCTGCACTCTTTCTGGTGGAGGCTCTCTTTCCAGGCCATTATACCCGTAGCACCATTCCAGGCTGCTTCTCCTAGCCACCCCCAAGGGTTTTTCATTCGGGTTGGTTTAGTTTTGCTTTTTTAAAATCCAAAATCACTTCCCAGATCTAGCATAGAGAGCAGACATATAAGTACCATCCATAACTGAAAGAATGGGCTATAACATCTCACAGGGAGCTAACAGACTACTTAGACAAGCGACCTCTTGGACCAGGTAAGAAATGAAGAAACAGCACTAATGAAGTTGATTTCGAAATAATCAGAATGTGAATGTTGATGTATTCTATATTCTTCATAAATCTTTTGTGACATGCCAACCTTTCATAAAATATGAGTAAAGAGAAAAACCTTACTTTTATGAGCTTCTGCATTAGCAACATAAATGAATCCATCAACTACTTCGCACACCTTTTTAACTTGAGCTATTACATTGTAGTGCACAGCTTGCTGATTTCCTACTACACTGTTTTCTTGGTAGAACATCTTATTCACAACAGCAGCTTGCTCTTCCCTTGCTCTCTTTCTTTCCACACTGCAAGGTATTAAAATATTTCAGTAGTCAGATTAATTAAATAGAAAATGCAAAAACAGGATCTAGGCAGCATAGCAGAGGGGCAGGAAAATAGCTTAAACCAGCATAAGTTTCATTCCTCACACTTTTTTTTTTCTAGTGTATGTATTCAGATAGCTAGCAATTTGCAAGAACTCATGAAAATACACTCCAGGATAAGTTTATACAGTGTTTCAAATGGGAATTAATCAGGTTATCAAGATAGACAAGAGCACCTGCTGTCTTTGACATATACATTTGTTATGTATATGATTTGAAAAATAAAGTTATTACTTCCATGTGAAAATTTATAGGTTGAAGAAAGGAAGGCAAAGACTGAAGGTATGTATTGAAGCTTCAGTTTATAAGGAATATCCATGCATATGAACACAGGCATAAAAACCACATCACAAAACTGAAAGGAGAAATATGAAAGAACAGAGAAACTGTCCTTTTTTCTGCAGAACAAATCTTACCTGGTGGTTGAATACAATGTCAGAATATTGAATTTTTGATTGTTATTAAACTGAAAACTGACTCCTGATCCAATTCCTACATGGGAAAAAAATGAGTATATGAGGTTACAAATACTTAGTCATTGGATATGACTGAAATTGGTAGGCTGAAAATTCCAGTGGTGCTATACAATGGACATATCCAAACTTAGGTGTTGCTGTTAAGGGTAGCATATACATTATTTCATGCTGAAATTTTATACATGCTCTAAATTTGTAACACAGACTATTAATTTAATTAAAATAAATAGAACTGAATTAAAACAAGGAGGTATTTCCATGTTATTTTTTGTTTGTTTGGTTGGTTGGTTGTTTTTTTTATATTTAGATTAGAACCTAGAAACCTAGGTCAGAGGGGAGTTAGATTTGCCTCTATTAGCCTAAATCAGTACAGAAAATGTTCTGTATTATTTACAACAGGCTGCATTAACAATGATACAAAACAAAAAAAAAGATGAACTTCTTAGAATTGTCTATTTTCACACTTCCTGTAAATACAAAGTAACTATTACAATTGTGCTGTGCTTAAAGGATATAAAGTAACGTACATTTTTGTCTGGTTTGGATTTAAGTGGAATTTAGGATTTAAAACAGAAGTAAAAAGAGCAAAATCTTGATATGGTACTGTACAAATTAAATCATTACATTTACTGCAGCTACAACATGATCATAATGTTTATTGCATTTATCGTTTTGCATAAATACAAAGAGTGATTTATTTTTTTTTTTTACCACTATGCTATTGATTTTCAAGGGGAGTATTTATTAAAAAGCATCATTTTTGTTTTCCATTTCTCCCCAATGTTTTTGTGTTTAAAGATTTATTTAAGATTTAAATAAGAATTAAAAACAAAGCAATACCAACAACAACAACACCATCGTTACCATGAATTCGTCTTTGAGGTAGGCCAGCCACTAGCAGAATTTCTGGGCATGTCATCATCTTTCGCACTAAAGAGTTATCCAGCTCTTCCAAACCCGGCCCAAACATCGCAAAGCGAGGTTCTGCCTGAGTGACCAGTGACTGCAAAAAGGAAGTTACAGCCCCATACCGGGGACGGCTTGATTTCCAGCTTTTTCTGCTCTGAGGACAGCTTTTTTTGTATCTGTAAAATAGACCCAAACTACAAATTAAACGTAAAATACAGAATAGGTAAAAATCAACGTTTACTCAGGTCCCACACTTCTCATGCGTTATTACTGGTACAACTCAAGCACAGGTGAAAAATGACCGAAATAATCAGTTTTGAACTTCAGCAACGGGTTAAAGCAGACAAAAGAATTAGTCCTTCCAAATTCCAAACGCGGTCTTGTTGGACCTTCAACGTACCTCCATGGAATGGAATATTTATTTTTTTTAAAAAAAAGTAAAATTAGAAACTCTCCCAACTTCACTGCACACACAGCATTGGTAGGATAAAATCAAAGCTGTTGTGTTGCAAACAGCATAAAAAAATAGGAAAATTCTGAGTGCACTTCCAACCTTCATTAAACTGTCTCTGTGTTTACTAATTGTTCACTCCACCTGGAAAGGACCATTTCCCATTGAGGAACAGAGACCACATGTTACGAAAGTAGACAAGCTGTTGTTTGCAGCCTTATGCATTCATTTGATGGAGAAGCTGGAAGGCATGAAATGACTTTTGTAATCACAGGGAAAGAAGTAACAGTGATGGAAGAGACAGACTTCCTGGAGAAGCAGGTTCAATTTTTGCTTTGTTGGTCACTGCACTGTGATACTGGACAAATGACTTCAAGAATATATTAAATATGTGTTTCACTTAAGATCAGCAACAACGTCAAGTGCTCACAGACACAATGAAAATCAGTGACAGGTGATTTCCAATAGGTGATGCTCTGAAGTACTTGGACCTGAAGACATTTAAATGCAGTGCTCAAAATCGATGATATTTTGCACTTCATGTTCAAAACACCTCTTTCCCAGCTGTAAAATGGGGATGAAGGGCACAGAGACCACAGCAATCAGTGCACTTTTTGTGAAGCAAGAGTTTCATGAAATCATCTTTGGAAAACGTAAATGCAAATTAATAACTTTGATTGCAAATTAATTAAAGGCATTGAATGAGTTTTAAAAAACACAAACACCGCAGAATAATCTGCTTCTCTTAGAGGACTTTTCAATCATCCAATCATCATAATATGGAGTGTTGCTGTGCTTTTCAGCTACACTGGTTGAAATTACATGCTCTGTCTTACTGCCACTAACCATTAGAGCTAAAGCAGTATTAGTACTTATTCCGCACACATTCAAAAATAACATTTTATTTTTTACTAGGTCTTCCAGATAAGATATAATACAAAACCAAGAATCATTCCACTCGCTGTATTTTAAACACTTTTTAGTACTTTTATTAAAACAATACATTATTTTTCATTGCACTGAGAGTGAAGAGCATTTTCATCAGGATCAGTGGTGAACACTGCTTCTCCAGTGCAAGATTTTTCATGGCACAGTAGGCAGTTTACAAAAAGTTTTGATTTTTTTTTTTGGTAACATCTTACATTCCTGTTGAATTCCAAGAAGAAATACAGGGCCAAACTCTTGCAGAGCAGGAAATTAAATTTCTAAAATAAGGGACAGGTTTGGGAACACATCGAAATTTGAGCAGTGGCTTTCAGTTTTCTGCAGTAAATATGAACCCTGGCTGTGGGCTGTAAATTGTGCAAGAGAACGCTGAGGCACTTACATTGCCATGTAGTCATACAGCGTGTTATCGCTGACTTCTGAGAAGGCTTTATTAAAAATCTCCACATCCGGGAGCGACTTCCAGTCAATGGAGGTCCAGAAGGGGAGATCCCGCAGCAGAAAGTACCTCCAGAGCAGCGGGTCCTGCACGGCCGCCCGCCAGTAGCAGCTCGTGCTCCCCAGGTGGCACAGGTCTTGCGGCGAGAGGAAGGACATGATGTTCAGCTGCACGTCGATCTGAAAACACCGACACCGGCGCATCAACCGCGGTAGCCCCGATGGCCGCGAGAAGGAGGAGGAGGAGGAGGAGAGGACAGCGGGTCCGAGCTCACCGGCAGCACCTGCAGGGCGCTCGCTTCCTCAGCCTCCCCTTCCCCTTCCCCGCCCGGGGGGCCCGGCGGTGAGGCGGCCTCAGCCCGCTCCCTCAGCCCCCGCGCCCAGCGCTCTTTCAGGCCCCGCAGGCGGCCCCGCACGGCGGCCTCCAGCCCGCCCCGCTCCGCCGGGCCGCTGCCCGCCGCCATCCCAACCCCGCACCGCACCGCACCGCCGCGGCCCCGGGCGAGGAGGAGGAGGAGAAGGAGGAGGAGGAAGAGGAGGAGGAGGAGGAGGCGCCGCTGCGGCCGCCCCCCCGGCCACGCAGGCGGAGCCCCCGCGGCTGGCGTGGAGGGGGAGGCTGAGAGCACGGCGAGCTCGTTTATTTCTTGGTCCCGAGGTAACACAGCATTTGCTTGGCGCTGCTGGTGCTCCAGCCCTGGCCGTGCAAAGGTCCCTCGCATACAGACACGTACTTCGTCAGCATGCTTTTGCCCAGTTCTCGGAAATCCAGGGGTGCGCTGTGCGATCTGCAGCCCGGGCCGCTGTCGGGCGCTGGGTCTGGGGTCTCCAGGCTTTCCTGCTCGCCCTCGCCACAGAGTTTCAGTCCCCAGTAGCACATTTCTCCACTGTACACCATCGCCAGCAAGTGAGTGTCACTAAATATACCTGCAGAAATAATTCAGATCAAGCCCTTTATTCTTCTGCTGTGAGCAAGTACGCAGCTTGTTGACTACATCCTTTTCTTAGGAACACAGCAAAAAAAACAAAAAAAAAATGGTACAGACAACATAAGCCTATTAAAGAGGTACACACCAAAGAACAATTTTCTGCCATTTTATGACCGATGATGCCCACAGGAGAACCTGGACTGAGGTCTTGCTCATTGCTCCACCTATTTTGCCCTTCCATAATATTAAAATATTTAAGGACTAGCATATACATATAAATAAATAATATAAAATATAAATAATATAAAAATGTAATATAGATAGGTAAGATATAAAATGTTTGCCTATTTCTCTTAGGCAACTTCAGTATTTCTGTACTATCCATTAAGTGCAGGTATGACCATGTATTAGAATTGACCACGTGAGAATACCTCTGTGCCTCCCACAGTTTAAGCCTCCTAGAAAATAGCTTTTTGAACATCATCTTAACTCAGGTTAACCAGCAACAGCTTTTGTATTTGAATAGGAAACACATTAAGTGTCCATGGTCATTCAAAGCAAAGAAATCCTACTGAATGAATGTACAAAATCAGTTACTGAATTTGTTCAGGCAATGTAGAGCTGAACTAGAGCAATCACACTTTTGGATGAAATTAAACAATATGTTTTGCTGCCCCCGTGAGCATTTGTTGCACAGAACCAAAGTAGAAGTAGTTTTGATAGGGTATAATGTGAACATCCCATTTGTATCACCAGCTGTTTTACTTTGGAAATCCTCTCCTGCTCCACCACCATACCAGCACCACTGATGTAGTCTCAGATGCTGACATAATTGCACTATAGTAATGTAACTTACATGAAGCTACAGTAGATGAGAAAGTTTCCCAACTCTAACTATCTTTGGTTATACTTTCTACGTGGGTGAAGTCAACAATTCATCATATCTGTTTTCTTCTAGATCTAAACAAGGAGATTAACATGGAAGCATTTTGTGCCCTCTGTAATTGTGTTTGTACTTTCAATATTTGTCCACTGACAACTGTATGGTTATAAACCACAAACACTGTGCACACAGTGTATAAAGCCTCAGTTCACTTTTCTTCAGTGTACTCAAAAATACAGAGAAAATTAGTGTTACCAACTCCTAAAATCCATTACTCAGAAGAAATCATAGGGGATGAGGAGGGAATCAGGAAAGCATGCCTGCTTCTTTTGTCTGCTAGTTTTTGATTTGCTGTAAAAAGATAGTTTTGAATACAAATGAAGTCAAATGACAAAAATACACAATAAAGCATTTCAGAAAGTGGAGTAGTTATTGGGGGCGGGGGTTGTGCTTTTTTGTTTACCTTCACTGAGTAATCTAGCTGTGTCTTTATCTTGAAGTGAGACATCTTCATTTATTCGAAGAGGGCATCTAAAGCTAAGCATCTTCATCAAGTAACGAACTCCATCATTAAGACACTGAACGCAGTTACAAAATGAGGAAAAAAAGCTTTTAGGTAAATTCTAATTAACTTAATGATAGCCAGAAATATTTCCAGACATGAATTCCCCCAAACCTTATTTAAAATTAAAAAAATGTATTTTAAAAGAAAAAAGAGTCACACTTTAAAACTGTATTTATGGACATTCACATGCTTGTAGCACTCTATAAACTCTCCTTTACCTTTTTAAATATGGCAATGTTTTCTTGTAGCCATTCACTCCTTTCTTTTACTGTATGACAATACATGTAAAGCAGGGCTCCTCTTCTCCAGTAAAGACATTCTACCAGCTCTGTACCAAGGATGTTAATAGGCTGGAATAAAATCCAACAAACTGTGCTAAGCAAAAAGTAAACCATCTACACTACTCATACACACACACACACACAGTGTCATATTAAGCCTCCAGCCTTAGAGGCTGTACTTAACAGCATGGGTCATAGACACAGACCTCATACTTCAGATTTGTATTGCTTAAAGCTTCTGTAACCATGAAACATTAGAAAAAATGAGTGTACAACATGTTCTTTGAAAAGTTATTTTGAGTTGTATTTAAATAGTAAACCCTAAGACATCATTTGTTTTCCAAAGATCTTAAACTTTGTCCATTAAAAATGCAAATACTACTATCATATCCTATTTTAGATTTTTGATTTTTAAATAATATTTGATTCTCTCACTGAGTAACACTAGTACTCACATCTTCATTTATGCTGCATTCCGTCACTAGATCTTCTGGTTCTGACAGAACACTAGTAAGTTCTTTAACTTTTTCCAAGGAAGTTTCTTCTGGAAAATCTTCATCCACAAGCTGGCTTTCCTCAAAATATGTAATGTCTAAAACAGCCTACGGAAACAAGAAGATATAAAATGCAAGAATACTACCTGCAGACTAATCAGATGGTAGCGTGCAGTAACATATACATTTGAGTTTATAAAGTATTACAATTTTATGGTAATTTCAGCACTTAATTTACAAAAGTAACAAGCTCAAGGTATTGTAAGGGTGTTGATGGTGAACATAAACTCATAACCCTTCCTGTCTTCACAGTATCAGTACAATTACTATTAACTTCTCTTCTACTCCAGACAAAAGCAGCCCTGTACTTGATGGATGTTCCGTAATTACCACAGGAGTAACAGAAATCCCTCTCTGTTACACCCTCTGTCACACACCAAACCTTCTCCTATACACAGTGCATGTTTTTAAACGGAGCTCTGAATGCTTTGAAGGCACTACCTGTGTATAAAGCTGCAAAAGCTTGGAAGGGTGTGTGTTCTCGCTCCCTTCACCACAGAGTGCCTCCAGTTTCTCCAGAGCAGCAGAGCCCTTTGCGAGGAAGGTATCTGAGGGAAGAACACAACGCCCCCTTAGCGCTGACAGCCACCCACCGACAGCCCCGCTTCCTCCCGCTTTCCATTATGTTTCACCCCCTTGGTGATACCTTTGACAGCAGCAGGACAAAGCACCAAAACCGCCCCGCTGCCACAAGCCCCGACCGGACCGACAGCACCCTTGGGTGCCCGTCTCCTCCTCAGGCACACCCCGGGGGCGAGCCCCCCTCACGGGGAACACCAGGACGACGACCACCGCCACCACCCCGCCACCGCCCCGCTCCCTGCCGCCGCCCCTCACCGTCGCCTCCCGCTCCCCTCGGCGCCTCCAGACGCCGGCCCAGCGCCGCCAGGCGCCGCCGCAGCCCCGGCACCGGCCCCGTACCCCCCACCGCCTCGGCCGCCATCCCCCCCGCCGCCGCCGCCTCCGCCATGCCCGCGGCCGTGCCCGCGCCCGGCACCACGTGACGCGCGGCGGCCATGTCGGGGCGGGGCGGCCCCGCCGCCGGCTCCGCGGGGACGCGCGGCTGCTGCGCGTGCGCGCTAGCGGCGGGGCCGCTGCTTCCCCTCAGGGGTCGGGAGCCGTTAGTGGCGGTTGGTGACGTTACGGTTGAGCTTTTTTACTTTTTTTTTTTTTTTTTTTTTTTAAGGTTTCAGTTTGCCGTCCAACTTAAGAGCAGCTCTCCTCCTGACCTCCGGAGATGGGCAGCTGTCGTGTTGTGAAGAAAAACAGTTTTATTTTCTGCTTGCTGCTGCGCCGCTGTCAATCGTCTGTTGCTTTTTCTATTCAATAAACGCAGCAATGTTTGATCTCAGTGCGTTGTTTCTCTAGCTCTTAACTGTTCCTCTTTCTGGAAAAACTAATGCATCAGCGCTCATGTGAGCACTGCGCTCATGCAGTGCTGGATTTTATTAGTTTAAACATTTTAAGAGTGACTGGAGACATTTTTCCCATCTAGCTCGCAATCTCTTCCCAAGTTAGTTACTATGTTGGTGCTTATCTCCCACTGAGGTGCGCTAAAAAGCTGCCTGCAATTTACTGTGCTTGTGAACTGGTAGTGGAAAGCTGCCTACACACAGACACCAGTGGTTTTGCTGTTGCCTGTGCTATGTGCATTATGTAAGAGCTATCAAACAGATCAAATACAATGAAAAAGTAAAACCAAAAAGCCAAAAATACCTGCTTCCAGAAATGGTTTGATTTTATTTATTTATTTATTTATTTATTTATTTTAGGAGAAATCCTTTAATATTTTTTGTGCGTACTGTTATTTACTCCTGCATAGTCCACATCCAAGCACAATTTTTTCATCTAAAGAACAGTTGCCTTAATAGTGAAAGTATTAATGTAAATAATTGCGTCATTCCTGAGAGTCAAGGAGATACTGCTTTATGTTTAAAATGAAATGCAATACTTGCCACGTTGACAGCTTGGGGACTGAAAAATGGCTGCATGTCATTAAGTTCCCTTCTGCTGCCCCAGATTCTCTGCTTCCGTGGTCCTGCCTTCAATTCTTTGTTTCAACATCCAGTTATGATTTATATTGCTTTCTTCGTGGCTTTCTTTACAACTTGGCAAGCAGGTGAGCTCTTAATAGTGGAGGAGATGTCAGGTAGTCTTTCAAGATGTGCCTCGTGGAGAAACAAACAAACAAACAAACCTGTAATGGTTGTGTGTTGACTCATTCGATAAAGGAAGTGGTATGGTTCTTCAGCCTGTGCTTGGGCACTGCCGCTTATTTTAACTGTATCTTATTTTAGCTGTATCTGTTCTGAAAGAAAGCTAAATGTATATGCAGAGGCTTCCCTCCAGAAACAGTTACACATTGTTTCTTTACTTTTGTGCCTGGATTTGACCTTTCTCAGCAGTGGTTTAGCTGGAAGTGAGGTGTTTCTGTTAATACCAAGCTGGCAAAGTAGAAAGCTGCTACAAATGAAGAAAAGAAAAAGAAGAAAAACAAACACTGGAGACACACACTTCTGAGGAAAAGAGTACCTCAAAGTTCTTTAGTGTTATCATCTATTTATTTTTCTCCCAACCTGTTTTTTGCCACTGATGCAGTCTGTGAGTGGAAGCTATAATGTTTTTCAAGCATTTCTCTTGTTCTGTACCCTGTTGGGAAGGAGCTTACAAACAAAGAGGGTATCAAGAGTTCTGGGCAAACACCCATGGAGCTGGGAAGAGAGGGCTGGGCTGAGCCTGGTTGGGATGTTGCTGCCGTGCTGCTATGGACAAGCTCAAACCTCTGCTTGGGCTCGGCCTTGCTCCTGGCCAGGGTGGCCTCTGCATCCGTCTCTTCTCCAAGCTGCATTCCCCCTGGCACTAGACTCCTAAGATGTGTGTTGCAGCTTGTAGAGCTACTGTGCTAATCTTTGCCACACACCCTGCAGAGCTCTTTGTTCATAAGACAGATAAAAGAATATGCCTGATTTTTTGAGAGAGCAATGATCTCAATATGCCTGATACTTTGTTTTTGCTTAGAACCTCCTGGGATAAAAGCCCCGACAAATGTTTGGAAGATAATGTCCTGGTTTTGGGTTTGCTACCTCTCCCTATTATTTTCAGGGCTGGGAAATCTTAAAATCTAATTTCTCCAAGCTTCCCACAAAGAAAGTTGCATCCCATATTTTTTGAAAAATTTTCCATGTTTAAGAAGAAAGCTCTTCCAAGATGACTCTTAACATACATTTTTTTTGAAGCAAAAAACATTTTACTGTGTAGAGCTACTTTAAGGAATCATTGCAGTATAGTAAAACAGTCTTAGTTAAAGATATTTATGTGGGGTTTGCAATAATTTGCTGCTTAGCGTCTCCATTTTTAAAGCTGCTGTTACTACTAAGGGAGGACGTGAGGTGTTGGCCATTTGAAAACAGGTTCTGCTCTTAAATTGATGGAAGCACAATAGGTAAATTGAGAAATATCAGTGTGTGAACAGTTTAGGTTGACAGAAGCAGGAGACCTGTTACTATTTCATTCTTCAGAGCCAAGCAAATGGCATTGTCACAACTGTCCTGTCATTTGGGTTTTATATATACATACGTGTGTGTATGTGCAAGTACATATGCACAGTGTCAATGTACATGCATGAAACACATGTTTAAACATTGGTTTTGTGCAGTATCTGTAGAATTATGTATGTAATAAATATAGCTATGATTTTTGTTTTGCAAATTTGTAGCTCCAAAATATACACTACCATCTGTTTAAATTTGGTATGTTGTATAATTATAATTATTATTATTAGCTACAGTAGAGTCTACTGCTGCTTTCCTTCCAAACCACATTCTTTTCAATCCTTCTGAGACTTGTGTGTAAATGTGCATGCTGTTACAGAAACAGACTGTCTGTAACCTAGTTACCAGTAAGGAATTATTTTTGTCCTGTGGTATTCCACCAGCACTCATAACTATCATGATAAACATGGCTGGAAAACAGGGCTTGCCTGAAATCTCTGAATATGTGAAAATTTTGAACATGTTAGAACAACTAATGTCTTGAATATACAAAATATACTTTGCTTTAGCGACCTTCTTATTTCTGGAGGTTAGGGAAACAATAGTTAGATAAGAGAGCATTTTTCCTCTCTATGTTTAGTGTTACCCAAACTAGAGTTTAAAGAGAGGAACTAGAATACCATAGAGGCAGGAAAATATTAGCTTTAATTAAAAATACAGACTTGTCTATGGAAAACAGCTTTGTGCAGCAATGAATGGTATATTTTTATCATTACCAGCAGTCTCAAGAACTTTTTGCAGACTGTGCAAATTTTCTTGGACTGTGGCACATAAGTGGGGTGATAACGAAATCATGCTAATTCTTGGAGAAAATATCCTGAGAGGAACTTTTTGGATTAAGTGAACTGTATATTTCGATTATGTGGTGTTCTGATCTCTAGAAAGAACATTGGAAGAAAGAGGCTTTCCTTTCATTAAATTTGTTCCCTGACCTAAGGTTACTAAACCTGGTGATGAAGACAGCATTGGGTTACTTATGGTTTTCTTTTGTTATAAACTAACTCTTCATGTGAAGGAGAATAAAAATAAAAAATAATAAAAAATAATTTTAAAATGTGTGAGGGAAGGAAAGAATGAAAGCAATTTACAAAATTAAAAAAAAAAAAAAAAAAGGAAAGATAAAGTTGCACAGACTGGATTGAACCTGATCAAACAAGCTACCAGACACTACTCCTTATCCAGCAGTTCCTAGCAGTTTTAAAGTCTGTGGTCAACATTTGGCTTTGAAATGAAGACTGAACACAACACGGATATTAATATAGATGTGCTTGGCTGATTTCAGTTTGCAGCAGTATGCTTCAAGTCCTGTAGAATCTGGAAAGGTTTATAATACAGTATTTGGTAAGTATCTTAGAATGACAGTAAATTACCATGATTTCAAGGATAAATCTATGCTTTTATTTTACCTGGTAAATTACTGAAGCTTGGTGTATATTTGTAAAATGTTAGGTAGGAATGGCAAATTTTCAAGAACAAGGAAATGAGAAGTGACTCACTTCTTTCTTTCTTTCTTTCTTTCTTTCTTTCTTTCTTTCTTTCTTTCTTTCTTTCTTTCTTTCTTTCTTTCTTTCTTTCTTTCTTTCTTTCTTTCTTTCTTTCTTTCTTTCTTCTTTCTTTCTTTTAAAGTATATATATATATATATTTTTTTTTTTTTTTTCAGTTACAAGGTTACAAACTTTATAACATACAAAAGCGCAATGACCCAAATTAGGGACAAATACCATTTTACTTGTTGTCAGTGTAAATTCAGGATTTATGTGTGTGGTGGATATTAGATTGATTTATCTGTCTTATAAAGAGTGCTCTTCTAGTAAGTTGTGCTTCCAGTAACTAAGAGGCAATCTATAAAAAGTAATCCAATGTACTTGCTCTTTCTACTAATTTGTATCAATGATATTTACTCACATTTATCTGCTATGGGGCTGAATAATACAAGTTTGCTCAAAATGTATTATTTGAGGTTAGTCTTGGCTTATTTATATGAGCATATTTGTAGCACATGAGCTTCATGACTTTGTTTGTCTAACAATATCTATAAGAAAGCTGCTCAATATTATAGTACCACTTTTCAAATGTCTCTCTGATTCACAAAGGGTGGTGTGTGCTTTTGCTCTATTTTATAGAGTGACATTAGAAGTACCAGTGAAGGTGAGCAAAACTGTAATTTAATCAGAACAGTGCTAAAAGAGTGGAAAGTAGTTACCAAAAATTTCCTCCATACTTCTGTGGAATTAAACTCTATGAAAATGATTTCCAGAGTTCAAAGTCGTAATGGATAATGTCATGTAATCGATTTAGGGGCTATCAAATTAAGTCAGCCCTCTTAAAATGAGGCTATATATTCAGTCTGAAATACATTCAAGATAGAGCATTTGATATTCATATTGATGATGCCAAATGTGAAACTGGGCATAAGGGTGATCTGTAATGGAATTGTACTTTGTTCAATGGATGTGAAATAATTAATTCCAGAGAGGCACGTGACTGCCAACTATTCATAGCCTCTGTAGGTGTGTCATATTTTTCTTGTCTAACCTTGCATGACGGTTCTTTGTTCTACCTGCTTCCAGTCTGTTCATACTTTGGGTGGTGCACTGACAAAACAAAAAACACCTGCTTTCATATGATGTGGTCACCTGCGTGTGGGACAACATGGTACCTGACCTGCGTTTAAGTTTAAGTAGGCTCAGAAAATATAAGATGATCAAGCAGTCTGATTATTGGTTGTTAGGAAGTGGCACGTGCTGAACTTTGAAGTTGGAACTGCTCTCTGGAATGATCTCCCTGGAAAAGGAGAATGTTAGAGCCTGACAAATAGGGATGGTTTCTTGCAGCTGAGGACAGAATTGAAGTAGCTTTTTAAACAGCTTTTCCATTGTATGGTTAATGATCAAAGAGCTGTGTGTACTGTGGACAGCTTCATCATTCTGCCTGAAACATCTAATTTATGGGTTCCTGGAGGTGTCAGGCTAGGAGAATTTGCTTACAGTAAACTTCACCCCAGCCTCCAGCTGTTACAGATTACTGCATTTGTAGTTCAGGGTATTATTTCACAGTTGACTTTTAGCTAACATAGAAATAAAGCCATTTGGTCAAAAAAAAAAAAAAAAAAGTGTCCAGACTCACGTCCCTACTTGCATGTTCCCACCACTTCATTGTATTAATCTAAGAGTCACGTAATGGTTTGGTGTGTGAGGTTGGCTTGCTTATCTCACTATATGTTGCCTTTATTTATTTATTTATTTTCCCTACAGACTGAGTATCAAGCTTATCTGGGTGGCTGTTAGCTGCATAACTGGCAATTTTGATGACTGTCCCCCAGACAGAGACTAACTTCCTTTTGAGAGTGTTATGTGAAACTTACCCTTGGAGAACCTAAGTCAGTCTTGTAGTAAAGTTTTGTTCCACTGTAAGAGGCTTTATACCGTTAATTCCTTCGGATCATAGCAAAATTAAATCTGCTAACTGGGATTTTATATTAATCATTGTAGTATTTAGTAATAAAGCTTTCCTGGTTATTTTGGGGCTGCTGGAGGGGAGGAATTCTGTAATGGGGTGAAGAAACATGCACTTGATAAACTTTTAAACAAGGCAGAGGTGTCATGCCTTATTTCGGCAAGCATTTCTTTTGGAAGAGTGCTAGTTTATACAGCTGCTCTGCTTTCTTGCTCCTTCTGTCCACTTTTTTTAGGCTGCCTTGTAGGTTGTGCTCATGCAGTAGTGCATGATGAACATGGCTGGGAAGCTCGTCTGTGTTCAAAGCCTCCCCACCCCTTTTTCTGGGCTACACTGAGTGTTCACACACGCATGTGCTTGCTTTACCTGGAAGAATGACTGCTGGTACAACCTCTCGGACCTATGATTAACCAAATGCCAAATCTTTCAAACCCATAATAAAATAAATGCAAGCATACTGATTTTGAAGACCAGTTCTTGTCATAGGTAGCTCTTTCGTTATGGCACACAACTGTTGGAGTGGCAAGCCATGATAACAGTGATCAAGGTTTTATTCTGTGTGGTATATAGGAAATATAAGATTGCTATCCCATTATAGGTTTTCTGATTCCTGTTGTGGATAGCTTGCAAGTTGAATGAAACTCTGGAAGTGCTTGCTTAAAGATTTTAACTCTTTAAATACACTACAAACAAAAAGCACAACATTATTTACTGGATGAACAATTGAGAGTCAAGTGAATTATACATCCTAAAGGCCTGTTAATGTCTTATGGGAATCTGAGGCTCTTCTTGCCATTCCCATAGCAATAACTTTCATTTCAGTATGCCCAGTTACTGTGATTACTTAAAGACCTCTGTGCCAAGCTTGGTACAGACGTAGCACCTAATTGAGGCCTTATAGTTTTACATGAGGACAGCCGTTGTTGCCGGAGGAAGATAAACGTCAAACTGCTCACTCTGCCTGTCTGAGAGTTCAGAGGGATGCCACAGGGTGTCTCCACTGTCCTCAATCCATTTCAGGCTTTAAATGGGGATGTTGCATAGCACTAATGTCAGTCTCGAATGAAAAACTGTACAAACCCCCTACAGCAGAGTAGTGAAGTCTCTGTGAACTATTGCAGTATGGCTTCAGGCTGGCATCTGGAGAGAGAAAAAAAAAAAAAGTCTGGACCTTTGAAAAGCTGTTTGGAGCTGGTCAAATTAAGAGCAAGAGGCCTGAGAGCTTCTCAACAAATATCTGTGTAGCTTGCAAATGCAGGAAACTTACCTGCTTTTTAGGTTTAACAGGCATCTAGCTCCCTTTTTGTGTCTATTTTTGGGACCGTATCTGAAAACAGACTGTTATTTTTTTCCAAAACCTGGGGAGAGCTGAAGGAAATCCCCAAATTTTATGACTAAACAATTCTAAAAGGCCTTTTAAAAAGTTGGATGAAAGAATAGTAAGGATTATTTTTAAATCACCTGATAAAGAACATATAATAATATTTTCAGATATTGCCATGTGTAAGATCAGTTGCCTTCCTAGTTCTTCTGTTCATTTGATTGAGACTGAGAAATGAAATCTAACAAGAAATGACTGTCACATTTTCCTTTTGCATGTTCAGATCATGCTTCCCATGGAGAATATTGACCAAGCTATTGATGGACTGCTCCACTGTACAGGGAAGGTCTGAGCTGCAGAGAGTTGTTCTTCCAGCAGCTGAATTAGGCAAAGCAATGCAGATGAAAATATATTGGCACCTGGTTTTGTCAGAGCATGCAGGGAGCTGGCTCCCTAGAGAGTGGATAAAATCGTTATGTGGGCTTGGACTGTGTGTGTGGATTTGCATGCCAGACTCCTGTAGCCAAGAACTGGTGCTTGACACTTAAGCACCACACCCATGAAATGGATGGCAAAGTCCAAGTTTCACCTGTAACTCTGGTTTCCTCTTTGAAATTTGCAGTCTAGGCTTGTTGCTTTTCTCCATTTCCAGCTCCACTGGCTGTCCCATAGTCTCATGGTGCAGGACTAGATTCACTGAGTTACAGGGTGTGTGATTTGTTTACTGCATACCATGTTTGCAAATGTGGTTCTGTGTTAGAATCACAGAATGGTTTGGGTTGGAAGGGACCTTAAAGGCCATTTAGTTCCACTCCCCCTGATACAGGAAGGGACACCTCCCACCAGACCAGGTTGCCCAAAGCCCCATCCAGCCTGGCCTTGAACACCTCCAGGGATGGGGCACCCACAGCTTCTCTGGGCAGCCTGTGCCAGTGCCTCACCACCCACATAGGAAAGAATTTCTTCCTTGTATTTGATCTAAATCTACCCTTTTTCTATTTAAAAACGTTCCCCCTTGTCCTATCACTGCACCCCCTGAGAAAGAGTCCCTTCCCCAGCTTTCCTGTAGGCCCCCTTTAAGTACTGGAAGGCTGCTGTAAGGTCTCCTGGGAGCCTTCTCTTCTCCAGGTTGAACAACCCCAGGTCCCTTATCATGTTAATGTTTTATACTTCTTTCTATCATTTACGTATCAACTACAAGGAAACTATTTCATCAATAGTAGTTCAATAAAGTCTTCCTGGGTTCTGAGTTTTAAATGCATACTGTTTGCTTACAAGGTTTGTTTGAGCATACCCCATGCAGCTTATTAATGTAACGTTGAGTTGCAGAATCTGGAAAAGCCTGTTACAGTAGTGCTAACAACATGTGCTGACATGCAGAGTGTCAGCTGCTCAGGATTCCTGTTTCCAATTTGTTTCTGTAGCCCCTTATGCTGTGTTTACCTTTAACCCTCAACAACACTAGGATTGGAGTGTAAAATAACCCCATTCTTTCTGCTTGGCCAAAGGGAAAAAAAAAGACTTTATTGTTCTGTTACACTATTGCAGCAAAAAGTTTCTTCTCAAAAATGAAGAGTGAGCAATTAAAAAAAGCATTTACTGAATAAGAATTTAAACCAGCCTCCATAAATATTGATAAACAAACATATGCCACTTCTGCAGAGGATGTCTGCCAATATCTGCTGAATTAACCTTTTTTTTTTTTTTTTTTTTTCTCTTTCCTTCTGTAAAGGAATGATAAATCACTTATCCCCTTTCCTGAACTAGGAGACATACTGTCAGTCACTGTTGAAGGTTAATATGCTTAATTAATTAAGACAGTGTTGATAACAGTTACTAAATATGCATTACTAAAACATGAATAGAAGTGCCAAGGGTCATGTTGAGTAATAGACTTTTGTTGTTGCTGTTGTTTGTTTGTTTGTTTGTTTGTTTTTAATAAAAATGATCCCAATTTTAACTACTTATATCTTGTAAGTACTCCAGCGTTGAATGGAGGAGAAGCATTTCCAGTGATCAGAAGGATTGAAGTTTTTTATTTTTAAGACTATCATATTGCATTTGAATTTCCTTTTCGGTCCTAAGCTTTGGCCCCTCAAGAGAAAATGTTGGCAGAGTTAGTTGACAAAAGGATTCCTCAGCCGCTCCACAGGTTTTCCTTCCACAGTCTTGGCACTGTGATTCTCTTACTTCCTTTAATTTCCATAACTCTTTAGAAGGTGGCTTTTTGTTTTCTAGTTGATTTTTGTCTTTGGTTTAATTTTATGCATGAACTTTCATTTGCTAACTCCCTACTAATTTTTATCATGTATAATTTTCACTAAACCCTCAAGTGCCCATTTTACTTTGTAAAGAGTGTGTGTGTTTGTTTTTTTTTTTTCTTTGTGATTATTTCTTTTCATTTGAACCTTATTAATAAGTTGAATATGTAAGTTCACATTGCTTACTAGTGTAATTATTGGTCAGGCAGGTGGCAGCCCTTTTGTCTTCCTCTAGGTAAATACATCTCCTGCAAATGTTATGAGTGTATCCTAAAGTTTTGAATGGTTTTGCACAGGAGCTTGCAGTTATTTTCATGTTCTTAGATGAAATTTATTTACAATTATCCAATGCTATTATGTAATTCTCAAAAGGTGTCTTCTTTTTATTCTTCCTCTAATTGCTTTTCCCTGTGATATTCCCCTCTTGTAGGAAGATGGTGATGTTATAAAATTATCTTGTTGAAATTTTCTTTGACTTTCCATACAAAGGGATTTAGATTAATTTTACTATATCCAAAGATAAGTTTCTTGTGCTCTTGAATGATTAATGTAAAAAATACCCCAGTATTTCAAGTAAAAGTATTTAAACTCCAAACTCTTGTTTCAGAATTGGGAACTATTAATGCATTGGAGGTAAGCTCAGGTGTTCTGTGTATATTCTAGATGCTGTATAATTTAAAGAACATTCCTTTCTGCATGGTGCAGTGTGTGATTTTTCATGCATCAATAACTGTGGGGTTTTGTGAAATTTTAATGAATCTGAAAGAAAGTAATTTGCTAATTTTTAATTAGCTAAAATCTAGGTCAACTACAAATATTACAGAACTTGTATAGAAGTTGCTCATTTCAGAGCTCTGATTCTCCACCCTGTATAGATGGATGAAATATATTTAAAAAATCTGCCTATTTGCTAACTTTGATAGCTTTTGCTGGAGTTGGGGAAATAAGTATTTCACTGTATTGTAGTGCTGACTTTGTTTTAATATACTTGATAGTAGTATTACTAAGCTGGCTGTATAATGTTATACATGATGATTAACCTCCAAAATACATACTTACTGGCTTGTTTTTGGCACCAGGTGCTCAACACTCTCCCTCTACCCATTCATAAATGTAAATGTGAAAATAGTTTGACTTGCATGCTACCACTGGTACTTGGTTTACTTCATTGAACAAAATAAGATCAAACAAACTACAGTTATCTTTGATTATTTTGGAGACTTTGGCTATCTGGTTATAGTCCCTTGTGTGAAGAGCTCAAAATCATCTAAGAAATTAATGCAAAGTAGATTACCTACCATCTTTTATAAACTACTCCAGAATAAATTATCTGCTCATTCAGCTGTGTCTGGAACTTGCCAAAATAAGATGCTTATGCCCCAAAACATGAGGACCTTGCACAGTCTTTTTTGAATAATTTGTTTTTATAAAATCTATAGCACCTCATAAGTAAAAGTTATATCCCCCTAATTTCCTAGTTCATTAACTACTTTATATAGACAGGATTATCAGATTGGCATAATAGATGTTCCAAGGAGGTATTATTACTCATTCACTTGTACCTACTGCATGCGGTTAGCCCCCTTTCTCCAACCTACAGACAATACCCCCTTGGAATCCCCAGTAGTCCAAAACCCACATGAAACAAATGCTAGCTGAGTATCTAACACCTCCTCAGAAGTGAACAGTTTGGCACGTTTGTAACTGCACACTGCTGGTTTAAAGGAAGATACTTACTGAACTGAAGAGAACAAACATTTAGATGAATAAGTTTTGCAATACTTAGAGAGAAAAAAAAATCATGGAAGGAAAAATGACATTAAGTATTTACATGTCTATATGAAATTTACGCAGAACTGAGGTTCAGAAAAACAGTTCTGTAGAACTTGCCTGCAGATGTTTAGCCCTGAGAAAATACAGACCCAACTGTTCCTGCAAGTTCATCAAGCCCCTGTAAATGGCAGCTTTTCCCACCTAGAAGTGCCCCAGACCTAGCTGTCTAGCTGAATCCAGTGCCTTGGGGAGGTGGGAGGGTGCTAGTGCCCTGGAGTCCAGCAGGGACATGACCCCCACCACACACTTTGCTGGTGTCTGCAGGGTTTGTGTTATGGGACCTGTCACTACAGGTGTCCTTGAAAGCGTGTAGGGGGCACTTACACATCAGGGTGACACGGCTGTGCTCTGCTCGTGGGCACCAGAGGCTGGACCAGCACTCTGAGCCAGAAGAAATAGATGTGCAGGGAACAGCCCTCTTTAAAAACTTGCCTCCTTTGTGGTATATTACCCTGCTGTGTGTTTGCACAGCCATAGCTGAGGAGGACGAGGCTGGCAGCTGTGCTGGAAAGGAGAACAACGGCGGGGAGCGTGACCTCCCGTCATGTGCCGGGGGCATTTCTCCTCTCCTGCATCCCGGCCGCTACTCGCATTCCTCCGCCAATCTTTGTTCCACCGGGCATCGCCGGCGCACGGGCTGATCCCCGGGGGTATTTTTAGGAAGCGTCAGGCACGGTGGAGGCGTGCTTTGAATTCTCCCCCTCGCAGCAAGGCGAGGTGCCAGCGCTGAGAGGTGCCCGCCATGTGACCGCCGCGGCCGGCGCGCGTCTATTCCAGGCACATTTTCCACACAAACAGCATCCGACGGGAGACCGCGGGGGGCCCGGCCAACCTTAAGGAGCCCCGTTCGCAGCCCACGCCCCGCTTACACCGCCTTTATCGCCGCGGGGCCGGACCCTTCCTTCCCCTCTCCCTCCGCCGCTGGGCCCCGCCTCGGGCGCGGCCACGTCAGTGGGCGTCGGGGCCGAGCCCCTCGCCCTCCCCCGGCACGCCTGAGCCCACGGCAGCGCCTCTCCCGGCCGGACAGCAGCACCAGCCGCCTCCTCCTCCTCCTCCTCCTCATCTTCCTCCTCTTCTTCTTCTTCTTTATCCTCCTCCTCCTCCTCCAGAAGATGGCGGCGCACAGACTCCTCCTGCCGCCGCTCGCCCGCCGCATCCTCCTGCCCGCTGCGCGGACACGGGGCGCCGCCGAGGTGAGGGGCGGGACGGCCTCCGTCTGTCCGTCCGTCCGTCCGTCTGTCCGTGTCATCCATCCATCCATCCGTCCGCGCTGACCTTGGCGGAGACGGCGAGAGGGGATGCAGGGCTCGGCCCCGCAGCGCGGCTCAGCCCCTGCCCTCTCCCCTTGCCCCCCCGCCCCCCCCCCCCCCCCGCCCCCGGTATCCCCTTCTGATCCCCTTCTGGGTGTGTTTTTGGGGGGCAGAGCGCCTCACCTGCTGCCTCCTGCCGCACGTGTCGGCTGCCCCGCGTGTCTCCGCGGGCAGGGGGCCCCGGCTGCTCCTGCCTTTGTTTTGTCGGGTTGTGGCTTGCCCCTTCTGCGAGGCGTCCTTCCCCTCGGCTGGTCGCTCGGGTGTCCTGGTTTGGGCTGGGGTAGCTGATTTTCTTCATAGCGGTGAGAAAATGTTGCCATGCTTTGGCTCTAGGGTAGGAATAAAGCCATAAAGCCACCGATGTGTTGGCTGTTGTGCAGTGCTCACACACAGCCCAGGGCATTACAGCCCCTCCTGCTGCCCCACGGGGGATGAGGGGCTGGGGGTGCACCAGGAGCTGGAGGGGACAGGGCCAGGACAGCTGGCCCTAGGTTGCCCAAAGGGATGTCCCACACCATGCGGTGCTGTGCTGAAAAAAAACGGGGCAGAATTGGCAGGGGTCTGCCATTGCTCAAGGACGGGTCGGGCAATTGCGCTGTGCATTGCTTGCTTTGTGTATTTGTTTTTTTTCCCCCACTTTTTCTTCCCTGTTAATCTCCCTTTATCTCGGCTCACCACTTGCTGCCCGCCTTCCTGGTTGTGTGTCCCCCCGCCCCTCGGCAGGGGACAGCGGGTGGCCACCGTGTGTCACCGAGCTGCCAGAGCCACGGCCACCACCTGGGGTTTCGGCTTCGTGCCCTGGTGTGTAGGGACACATTTTGCAGTTCTGAAAATGTGTTTCTGAAGGAAATAGCCATGGGGCTACTGAGCATGGGGAAAAGGGTCTTATTTTCAACCAGTACGGTTCCCACTTAATAATGTTTTTCTGAGCCCCTCAAAGCAGAGGAGCATCGATGGCAGGGGAGCATTGGGAAGGAAAGAAGCCTCCATTCAAACAGGTTTTCTTAATACTCCGTGCAAACCCTTCTAGCCTTAGTTTTATAAAGGAGGCGGTTTGTGTAGTTTTGAAACTGAGCCAAAATTACTGCACTGGTTGTAACTGGATCTTAAGACAACTCTGCAGGGAAGAATACTGCCATTCTCTTTACGTTGTGCATACATTAGCTCGATTATTATTTATTTACCCATTCTTCTCCTCCTTTCCCAGTCTACAATTTCTACTTACACATCAAATTAGAAGTGGAAACAACATCAGCTAGTATTTTGACCTCCAAATATGCTCAATTTTTCAAGACTGTGTAAGTATAGTGTAGTGGTTTACATGTCAGTTGCTGCTGGAGCACTGACAGTACTTCATTAGTATTAATCCGTGATAATATTACTGTGAAATGCTTCAAGGGGAAAAAAAAAAAAGTTTTAGGATAGCTGTGATCTAAGAATACAGCAGAGGATTCATGGTGGTTACTGTTTAATGGGTTTGCGCTATGAAGTCTTGATTTTGGGGTGGAAGTCCTATTAATTTCCCTTTTGTCCTCCTATTTCATCTGTTTGTGGCAGTCTCCCTCACTGTGGGTTGTTCTCCAACAATGCATGTAGTGCTAAGAATGCAGGAGGAAGCTGGGCATCCCTGCTCACTACACAGCCAGCACAGTGCTGTACTTCACATTGTTCCTTGGCCTCCACCCAGAGTTTGTGGTGATGTTGGCCCTCTGCATCAGTGCCTACTGATTATCCTTGGTGTCCAGATACTTTGGAGCAACAAGCAGTAATGTCGGGTTGGAGCAATCTACATGTTGCTCAAACTCATGTTGAGGAATTGCATTTTTGAGTCTGTTTACAGTAAGTCACGACTTCTCAACAGTTTAAGATGGAATTCAGAAAATGTAAATCTGTTTGAATATAGTCTAATGGATGCAGTTTATATTAGTCCTAAAGCCTTCATAACATACATGAATGTAGCAAAACATGGGTGATATGATTTGGGGGATAGAGAGACAGCAGAGTCCTTGTTGTAGACAGCCTAACCCATGTATATGTCCCCCTACCCTTCTATCCATCCTTCCACAAATATCAAAGCTTAGTCTGTCTTAGCAGTGTCTTTTTTGTACGTCTTCCCCTTTAGTTAGCCAGAGGAATGGTCATCATTACAGAACTACCATATGATACATCGTATTCACTCCCTTAACCTCTTTTAATGTTGTTCTAGATTTCTGGATGCTATTTTTCTACCAGCTCTCAACGCAACACCAAATTTTATACCGATCCTGTTGAAGCTGTGAAAGACATACCCAATGGGGCAACTATACTTGTTGGTGGTAAATATTTAAATTCTTTATGGATGAAAACTTGTATTCTATTAATGATATATTTGTGGTTCTTTTAACGTTATCTAATTTGAGAATCCATATCTTTTATATAGGTATTTTAAACGAGTCATTTCCTACCTTACTAATCATGGGACAGACCTTATCAGTAAGCAAATCTTGGTTTCTTAGTTGAAGGAAATATCCTCAGGAAAAAATCATTAGTTTTTTTTCCCCATTAATAAAACGTTAGACCTTAATTGCGTCAATTTGAATGCAGAAAGTTATTTTGGTCTTTTGGATCATTGCTTCAGATGGTGAAGAAAGGCATTTTAGCTTGATTATTTTTATGCATTCTGTGCTCTGTATTTGCCTTTTCACTGGCTCTCTGTGACCTTGAACAAATCACCTGAGCTGTTTGACTGTTGGAAGTCAAAATAACTTACCTATGTTATACTGAATGGTTATGTGTAATATTTCCAGAAGAGTCAAGAAATTGTATCATACTGGCTTTCAACACAACTTGAGCTCTTAAATATTCTAGATGTTTTTCACAGTTTCATGCTGTTTAACCTCCTGAAAGAAAGGGCAGTCTCTTTATGTAATGTACCATAACTGATTTTTAGTACTGAAGAAGAGTAGTGAATGAAATGTTGTAAAACATGGGAAACATCACTAGAGATCTGTAGTAAGGCAAAGAAATGATAATTCTTCCTATTTATCATTTTGCCTTACTACTATCTATTTTTTTGTTGTTGTTTAGTAGGAACAAACGAAAAGATGCAATGGTTGCAAGTAAAATGCTAGTAGTCATAGTATTAAGAGTAAGACTGGTGCTTCAAATGTGCTATCATACTTCATTTTAGGAGTATGAGGTTCTTGTACAATAGGCAGGGGTGTGAGGTGCTTCAGCCTGGGTGGAGATCTGGGTTACTGTGCTTCCAGTTACTGGTCTTACCCAGAAGTTTAAGATTTCCAGATTCTTATCACTGACTGCAGGTTATGCTGTATGGGAGAACTCTTTGCTCCTTTTGTTTGATAATGTTACCATTCATTGTTACTGATGGTTAGTTGCCTGGAAAAAAGAAATAAAAAAAAAGAAAAAAAAAGAAAAAAAAAAAGGAGGAGTAATGTGTATAAGGGCACAGGGCATGGATAGGGCACACACCAGGATAGCCAAGGTCTTGGAGCCCTTATCCAAAGGCTGTTTGCATATGAGCAGGTATCTGATACCTTCATTGCTTTAATATTGCTAAATTGCTTTAATCCAAACTGGGAAGCATCCAGTGACTGGGAGATTACAGTACTAGGGCACACCACGCTTTCCATAAGTATTGGTTTCTTTAGTCATCTAAAGTGCTCATTCTATTCAGGAAAGACTTAACTAACCAGTGCTTCTGATTAAACTGTTTTTCAAACACTTGTGACATATTCAATTTTATTTCATTATACACAGGTTTTGGATTGTGTGGGATTCCTGAAAACCTCATTGGGGGTTTGCTGAAGACTGGAGTAAAGGGAATTACAGCTGTCAGTAACAATGCAGGGTAGGTATACGTGTGTTTGTGGCTTCATTCTGTTCATGAGAGAAGGCTGGTATGTTTTAAAAAATACTACTTTTCATCATAAGGTGTCCAAAAATTAACATGAAAAAATAATATAAAAAAAAATGAAAAATCAGTATGAAAAATAGCTGTGTCAGTTTTATTTTTGTACTGAGTCCAGAGAGTACAGTACTGTGTGTATATATACCCCATTTGTCTGTGAGCAATTGTTGCTGTAGAACATAGCAATTATGTATATTTACATATATTTAACTGGTTGATTGTAACTGAAAATATCAGTCATTTGTGTGTCTGTAAATTTCGAGATGGGAATTTTTAATTACATTTTGAGGCTTTCTGACAAAATTTTATTATAGCTCCGTTACTTTTTTTAAAAAAAAAAGGGGGGGAGGAGGAAAATAACCCCACAACAATGGAGAATATTTATGATAAATCAATGGAGAAACTTTTTTTGTGGGTCTTGAAATTATCATTTTGTTAAATATTTGCCCATTAAGAAATTCATGAGAGATTGACAAAATAATTTTTACATGCAGTTTCCCAGCGCATTATGGTTATTTTTTTTTTACACAAGCTGCTCATCTAGTATACCTAACAGTCTTCATGTAGAGAAATATAGCCACAAGTGCATTGATGGAATAGAAACAAAATTAAATAAAAATTCTGACATGCAGAATGTATTGACGTGTATTTGAAATTTGCCAGGTCAATAAGATGGATGTTCTGCTTCTTGCAGCATGTTGGATGAGTAGCATATGCAGGTAGCCCTAAACTCGGTGCAGTAACTTATCATATTAAATATCACCCACAGCAACAAAATAATCTCAGTATAGTTTGGTTCACTGTGGATTTAAAGAACATTGAAAACCATAAAAAATCCTCATTTACTATTCCCTGTCAAATGCAGCATACAAAATTAAGTAGTTCACAAAAAAATGCAGTAACGTGGGAATTTCTAATTGCTGAAATTGCACATGATTACAGAAAAGAAAAGAAAGAAAGGGTAAGAATGCTCATGCACCATGCTCACACACCAGCTTTCTTACCACCTGGGGTGTATAATACTATAACCCCAGTAGATCTAGCTGTGAAAACGCTCTTGTTTCACAAGGCAGGAGTTTAGGATGAGCCCTCTTAAAAAAAAAAAAAAAGCTTGCTAAAGGTGCATCAAGACACTTGCACCAGAATAAGGGAGAGATGGGTTTATGTGAAACAGAAGGGTTGTTTGGGTATGAAGAGCTTGGTTCCTAGTGTGAAATGAACTTAGATGTCAAACACTGCTTCCTCAATTCCTCCAACCTTGCCAAAGAAGTGAATTAGGTTTGATTTATCCAGTAAAGCTTTTTGTTCTTGTCATCTGTGTCATTACATCTCTCCTATGGTCTCCTATGTCTATGGTTTTGTATCCCAGTCTGTATTAACTAGACTGAAATTAACATGATTTAAGAACAGAATGTAATTTAAAAATACAGGTAAAGTAGCAATTATAACAATTAATACTTAATAAAAAAAAATATGTTTTGCAAATCATTGTCTCTTCTCACTTAAAATATCTCAGACATGGTTTCTTGGTCATAGAACAAGGAAACACCTGAAATCTCCATGTGGTCTTTTTCACTACCTTTTCAAACTCAGATTTAAACATTAACAAGAGGAAGTACTTTCTTCTGTTATCTACTGTTATCAGCTTTGTTTCCTGGTTAATAAGATAATACCAACCTGTAGATTGAAATTAGCAG